AGGAAAAGCAAGGAATCATTTATTGAAATTGTTCTAAAAAATATTTTTTTAAAATGTAAATGAATGCATTACAAGTTTTTTATTACATGTTGAATAACTGACTGTACGTTTTACTTCCAGTTTTCCAGCCGCTTTAGTACATTTCTCAGATCACAGCTGAAATTCTCAAAACTATGTTTAACCTTCACATCATCTAGCCACTTGTTTGTGAATATTGATGGTTGAGTTAGATTAGAAGTTTTGTTTTTGTTCTTAGTAAGATTAGTTATGTTTTATTTCTTTCTTTGTTTTGGCATGGTCTCGTTCTTCTCTCTTTTCCCCGTTTATTTTGTGAACCGTTTTGCTTGGTTATGAAGTGTATATAATTTGTAAATTTATGTAAGTAATATCCTGGGCTAACTTTTGTCACTGTAATAAACAGACACTTTGCCGAATTCAGAATGTTATGCGTGTGATCGTTTTCCAGTACACGTCCCGTGTTTTGATGTTGCACCCCCTTATTTCCCCTAGATTTAAAAGGGTTTGTAACAGCCGTCAATAAAAAAGTTCACAGATTATGTAAAATTCAATGGAGGTTGACCAATCTTTGAACTATGTTCTTATCTGCATGTTTCATCCATGAGAATGCAAAGTTGGAGAACAAGCTTTTGGGGATTTAGAGAACCAGAAGCAAGCTGACTGAGCAAGCTCAACTTTAGCTGCATTGTGAGATTATTTTCTTTTAATATGCCTGGAGGTGAAAAATAATACAGAAATTGTCAAATTCACTTGATTACTTGATCTAATTAATTTAAATTACAATTAGGTGCAAATTAGTCGTGTTGTATATAGGCATGAAAACAGTCCAGTACTTATAAGTCAAACTTATGTTTATGTTGAAATGATAAACAGATTTCTGTGCTACCCCAGACTGGTTTCTGGCCCCTGCCTGGCCAGAAGAATTCCCTTTTAGTGCATTAACGCAGAGGTCCCCAACCACTGGGTCACAACCCAGTACCGGGCCGTGGAAGCATTGCTACTGGGTCGCAAGAATGTTCTGGAAATGTGTAAACATCTATAACACCAACCATAACTAATAAGACTTGACTAATCTTATCATGATGCAATACAAATTCAGATGCTGACAGTTACACTTCATTATAGCAGATGATTGATGGATATTAGACGGAAGAGATCAAGATTCCATGTAACTCATTTGTATGCTCACACAAATTTCAAGAGAAAAGTCATTTGTGTGATAACGTGTTCATACAGATCAGGGGTTCCCAACCACATTCCTGGAGCCACCTACACAGCATGTTTTCAATGTCTCCTTAATCAAACACACCTGATTGCGATCATCAGCTCATTAGACTCTAGGAACGTGGATGGGAACTACCCGTATCCTGAAGACCTTGATTAGCTTGTTCGGGTGTGTTTGATTAGGTTTGGAGCTAAACTCTGCAGGGACACCGGCCCTATAGGATCAGCGTTCCCCACCCCTGGTTTAAGCAGAGCGCTCTAAACACCAATATATCTAAATCCTTCTTATTCTCAGCCTCCTAATCACAAATATCTTCCTACAGAAATCAAATGAAATGTGAAAATGAAGGGTACACTAAGACAATCATGTGATCACTGGCATTTAATGTGTGTACAGAAGAATCAGCCTTTCAGCTGATAAACCGCAATGTACCACGATGGCAAACAAGAAATAATTTAGCAACATATTTACATGGCAACACAACAAGAGTTCATTCACAGTTCCAGCAGAAACAAACATAACATGCAGTGCAGCTGTACATGTGTGTTTCACTCTGACATCCTCAAGGGAAGGAAAAGGCTTTTCTCTTCAACAAAAACAGTGGCCTGTTTAAAGCTGAATTCATATACAGACAGGCAAAACTGATGCTAGATAAATAATACTCTCAACAAAGACTAGTAATCACTATCAAGAGTCAGTTCACTGTGTGAAGCGATATTATCATCCTCAGATGAGTGTTTTACAGAAATCTGTTCACTGTAAAGGGATAGTTCATCCCAAAACGAACATTTTATCATTATTTACTCACACTCATGTTGTTTCAAATCTTTATTTTTTATATTTACAACACTAAATAAGACATTTTTAAGAATGTTTATGCAATTTTTTCCATGTTACAGGTCATTGTGACCCACTATCAAACTCAAAAAATTGTGTAATATTTCAGGTAGAAGTATATGCAAAACTGTATTCTGAAGTCATATGATTTGCATGACATAAATGGAGTACTTTTATGTTTTTCAAATCAATTTTTGGGGCTTTCATTGTCGTTGTATGGAAAAAGTTGCATGAAGATGCTCTCAAATTTTTCCTTTTGTGTTCCACAGACAAATACATCATCAAACAGGTTCAAACGACATGAGAGGGAGTGAATAATGACAAATTTCATTCTGGAGTGAATGATTCCTCTAATTCTGCTTGGTGTCAGGTTTCTGAAGCTGATCTGAATGTGTGAGATATGTTGTGTGTGGATTGTGTGTTCAGTATTACAGACTGACAGTCGTTTCTCCTTCAGTGACAGACGCACAGCAGCTCTATAAGAGTTCAACTTCATTCAAAGACAAATGTGCTTAAAACACACACACATTATACGCAAACTTCATCACAACCATCAGTCCTGCACAGAACGAAATATGAGAAATAAATGACAGAAAACTACAGTGCTGTTCTTTCACTCGATTTGAATGAGCATCTCAAAACAACTAAACGCTAAACCAGCATTGTTCACTGTGGTCAGATGTTTCACATTCACAGCTGAACTGATAAAAACAGACTTCATATATATATACAGTGCCGTGAAAAGGTTTTTGCCCCCTTCCTGTTTTTTGTTTTTTTTTGCATATTTGTCACACTTAAAAGATTCAGATCATCAAACTAATTTTAATATTACACAAAGATAACCCGAGTAAATACAAAATGCAGTTTTGAAATAATGATTTCATTTATTAAGGGTAAAAAGCTGTCCTAACCTGCCTGGCCCTACGTGAAAAAGTAATTGCCCCCTAAATCTAATAACTGGTTGTGCCACCCTTTGCAGCAACAACTGCAATCAAGCGTTTGCGATAAATGGCAATGCGTCTTTCACAGGAATTTTGGCCCACTCTTCTTTGCAGAATTGTTTTCATTCAGCCACATTGGAGGGTTTTCGAGCATGAATGGACTGGGTAAGGTCATGCCACAGCATCTCAATAGGATTTAAGTCTGGACTTTGACTTGGACATTCCAAAACCTTAATTTTGTTTTTCTTGAGCCATTCAAAGGTGGACTTGCTGGTGTGTTTTTTGGCCATTCCAAAACCTTAATTTTGTTTTTCTTGAGCCATTCAGAGGTGGACTTGCTGGTGTGTTTGGGATCATTGTACTGCTGCATAACCCAAGTGCGCTTGAGCTTGAGCTCACAAACTGACGGCTGGATATTCTCCTTCAGGATTTTCTGATAGAGTGCAGAATTCATGGTTGCATCAATTATAGCAAGTCATCCAGGTCCTGAAGCTGCAGAGCAGCCCCAGACCATCACACTACCACCACCATGTTTGACTTTTGCTATGATGTTCTTTAATGAAATACTGTGTTGGTTTTACGCCAGATGTAACGAGACACACAACTTCCAAAAAGTTCAACTTTTGTCTCATCAGTCCACAGAATATTTGCCCAAAAGTCTTGGGGATAATCAAGTCATTTTTTGGCAAATGTGAGACGAGCCTTTGTGTTGTTTTCGGTCAGCAGTGGCTTTTGCCTTGGAACTCTCCCATGGATGGCGTTTTTGTCCAGTCTCTTTCTTATTGTTGAATCATGAACACTAACCTTAATTAAGGCGAGTGAGGGCTGCAGTTGTTTAGATGTTGTTCTGGGTTGTTTTATGACCTCCTGGATGAGTCGTCGTTGTGCTCTTGGAGTAATTTTGGTTGGCCGGCCACTCCTGGGAAGGTTCATCACTGTTCCAAGTTTTCTCCATTTGTGGATAATGGCTCTGACCGTGGTTCGCTGGAGTCCCAAAGCCTTAGAAATGTCTTTATATCACTTTCCAGACTGATACATGTCAGCTATTTTGTTTCTCATCTGTTCTTGAGTTTCTTTAGATCGTGGCATGATGTGTTGCTCTTTAAGCATGCTTCACTTTGTCAGACAGCTTCTATTGAAGTGATTTCTTGATTCAACAGGTCTGGCAGTACTCAGGTCTGGGTGTGGCTAGTGAAATTTAACTCAGCTTTCTAAAATAATGTGGTTAATCACAGTTCTTTCATGATTTAACAGTAGCGGGCAATTCATTTTTCACGTAGGGCCAGGTAAGTTTGGACAGTTTTTTCCCCCTTTAAAAATTAAATCATCATTTTAAAACTGCATTTTGTATTTACTTGCATTATCTTTGTGTAATATTAAAATTTGTTTGATGATCTGAATCTTTTAAGCGTGACAAATATGCAAAAAAAAAAAAAAGAGGAAGGGGCGCAAAAACCTTTTCACGCCACTGTATATACACACGTATATATATTCAAAATCATTACTCTTTCAGTTCCACATGTCATTGCATATATTCAAGCATTCGGCAGCATTGATGTGTGCAACAACAGGATAAATCTCATAAATATATATCCAGGTCACATTTCACACCAAAGATAAACAAAAAGGAATTATGTTTTGCATAACAAAAATTGAACCCATTCTTATCTTTTTTTTTTTTTAAAGCTTGTGACATTATTTTCAAATACATTTTAAGCACAGTTTAATTGTATAAAAATATTAAAAGTGCATTAATAAAAAACAAAACAATCATGCATAAATGAAAGAAAGTTCAATAAATATGACTATGAAATATAAATATTGAAAATTTAAATAATGTGATTTTGTTTGTATTACAGTAATGAGAATTTAAGGGTTAAATGTGCTTAATTGTCACGAAAATAATGTCAAAACACGGACAATCTTAAAAACAGGCTTAATTTTCTTTAAGCAAAATATTATTAAACTCATTTCGTTCTATTCATTTTGGGGTCAGATATGACCCGGACAAGTTTTTGACCGGTTTTGTGAGATTCGCCCGGTAATTTAGCGTGAATGTTTAGGATTTCGGAGATATCAAAAAAGTTCATCAAAAAAAGCAGTTCTTGTTTTTGTGAGATGGGCTGAATGGAAAATAAGCTTGTGTTTTAAAAATGGTATTGTCTCATTAATGTACAAGGAACCCTATCAGATGTGACAAACAAAAATCTTTTGCTTTTGTACAACATATTTCCGCTGTTTAAGTTGTGAGCTGTGAGCAAAACCTTCATTTGACAGGAAAGGCCTAATAATTTGTTAATACTTAAAGCCCAAAACAAGCTTTCACGAGTATAAAATGAGTAAAACAGAAAGTGTATTCAGAATCCCTGATGTCAGCAAGTCACACTCACAGCATCATCACATCATAACATTAACCAGAAGTAAAAATCACTGTGCTGAAAGCAGATATGATTAGTCTGTAACTAAACGGCTCTTAACCAGCGAGTATCATTAGCTGGGTTAGGTCTTCATCTTTTTTCCTGATCCAGCTGTGGTTTGTTTGTTACGGCTCTTTGTAGGAGCAAATGTCTGTTAGTTTGGCTTTTTATTCTTATGCTACAGGCGGCATGATTTCTCTTTCACACTGAAACTCACTTATATCACCACAAAAACACCCATCTCGAGCTTCTGTTTAATTTAATTCCCATAATGTACTTCACTGAAGCCACACAAACACCTTGAGATCCAAAAGTCTCCACTGAGAAGACATGATGGAGCTGGAACGGGCCAGATTTACCTCCCTTCCATACCCTTTACTAGACTGACCAGAACTAGTGTGCAAACCTCCACGTCCGGCTCTGTAACAGACATCCTGATGTTAGATGTGTCCGTGAGGCTCACGGAGGGCCAGTGGATCAGAGCGAGTCCTTTGGCTCAGTGGACTCTTCAGTATTGAAGGGTTTTGGCTCTTTTTTCATCCTTTTGCTGAACCAAACACGTTCTTCTCGATCTCTGTAGGCCTTACAAATGTCTTCAGGCAAGAGTTACACAAGTCCGTTTACTCAAACGACATGAGATTCGCTGGTATCTACAAGAGCGGAAAGAGCGTTATGCATTTATAGTTTAGTTGTTCTCAGTAGCTGAACAATGCCACAACTTGCTGCATTACAACAGAACTCATTCAGAATTTTGAGTCATAAGTATTTTTTCACAATATTAAATACATATCAGTTAATATAAATATATACACTAACATTCAGTATAACATTAAGATTTTTGTCTCTTCTGCTCACTAAGGCTGCATTTATCTGATCAAAAATACCGTAAAAAAACAGCAATATTTTGAAATATTATTACAATTTAAAATAACTGGTTTCTATGTGAATATATTGTAAAATGTAATTTATTCCTGTGATCAAAGCTGAATTTTCAGCATCATTACTCCAGTCTTCAGTGTCACATGGTCCTTCAGAAATCATTGTAATATGCTGACTTGCTGCTCAAGAAACATTTCTGATTATTATCAATGTTGAAAACAGTTGTGCTGCTTCATATTTTTGTGGAATCTTTGATAAATAAAAAGTTAAAAAGAACAGCATTTATTTGAAATAGAAATCTTTTGTAACATTATTAATGTTTTTACTGTTACTTTTGATCATTTTAATGCATCCTCGCTGAACAAAAGCATTAATTTATTTTTTAAAAAGCAAAACAAAACAAAAAAATCTTACTGACTCCGAACTTTCGAACAATGGTGTACTTATATTGTGCACATACATATAAGTATATAAATTAAATATATAAATATATAAAAAACATATTTAAACATTACAATTAAAAAATTAAACCATAATATTAAAACTAATATTAAATTTACCCCAAGTGTTCATAATGTGATACCGTTTTTGCATTGATTCCAGACTTACAAGCTTTATTCATTTGTTATGAATACCAGTAATTTGATTTCTGAATCCGTTGAATTTGTGTCCATATCAATTTTATTTGTTTAACTTTATCTATCTATCTATCTATCTATCTATCTATCTATCTATCTCAAGCTAAATGCATGGAAATGAGTGGATCAGTGGTTGTTGATACCTGAGGTCTTCTTCTCCGACAGGCCTCCTCCAGGTGTTTGTGCCACATGATCGCAGTGAACCGATCGCTAGTCTGAAACTTGTAAACATTCCCTGAGAAACACAGAGATTCTGCTCCAGTTATGTGGATAAAATCATTTCACAATGAATACATTTGTCATATAAAAGCACTAAAAGAAACCCTGTGTGAATCATATTTACCTTTGTCAGGATGGTTGAGCTGAAAGATGTTGGGTTGAGCTGGATCATCCGGCAGCACCACCATCCAGCCCAGAACACAC